AAATTGGAAAGTAAGGACAACATTGCAAATGGGGTACTAACTAAGGGACCAAAAGTGCGATTTCCCCTATAACATAAATAAAACACTTAGTTTACTTGGTCTAAAAGGTGTCTGTATTGTTCGGTATTGTATAAATTTTCATAATAATATTATTAATAAGATTGATGCATAATAATTTACCACTTTAAACTACCAATAACATTTAAAATTTGATAAATTTTTTTTAGATTGGTAACCACGATGTCATCACACTACATGATAGTTGGTAAAAAATTAGATAACTTATATATGGAGATATTAAAATATAAAATTAGTGACGATGTGACCCAAACTTTAATTAAAGAATTCCAACTTTGGGCACATTGTATAATGCACTGATAAGGGTTTTTCTAGGTTTTCCATCACCTTCTTGTTCTTTTCTCCGGTGATTTCTTCCAGTTTTTCCCTTGATCGGCATGGCGGCTGTGACCGGAGGGGACGCATGGGTCAGCTAACGGAGCGGTGGGCCGATATGGCCCTTGAGGACGAGGATGAGATCTTTGCTCCGTGGACGTAGTTGAGGGCGGTACGGTTGATGTGGGGGAGCAGACGTGGGCCATTGTTGGACGTTTCCTGATCAGAAAGTTAATCAAGCTCGAGTACATGAGGCAAGTCTTAGCCTCGGTTTGGCAACCTGTGAGGGGGTGCAAGTCTCTGAAATCCAACCGAATTTGTTCTTGTTTGTTTTTTAACATGAAACGGACATGAAACATGTATTAGACGAAGGGTCGTGGTCATTTGAGTACTGCACGCTAGTTTGCCGCCAGGTTCTCGAAGGGGTGTTGCCCGTTAATGTTGAACTTGACTCGGTGGATATTTGAGTGCAACTCAACAATTTGCCTATGGGTTATACCTCGGAGCTGATTTTAGAACAAATTGTCAATTTTATTGGCACTTTTGTTAAGTTTGATGATAGATTTGTTGGAGCACCAATGCTGACTTTTTACCGAATCCGTGTATCGTTGCCAGTAAATTGCCCCTTACGAAGGAGGATGAAGCTTCTCAAACGGGATCAAATGACATGTTGGATCAATTTTAAGTACGAACGACTACATACATTTTGTTTTTTCTGCGGCATACTCGGTCACTCGCATAAGTTCTGTTTAGAAGCCAGGAATGCAGCTTTGCTGGTTGATCAGTATCCCTATACTGCTGAGCTCCGGGTGGGTGGCAGATGGGGTCCGAGACCTGTGGGGGATTTGTGGTTAATCCCGATTGGTGAGAAGTCGAAGGGGGAGGCGGAGTCTGGTCCGGTGGTTGCGGTGCATGGCGATGAGACTGGGTCGTCTCATGTAACCGCACGGGAAGCAGGGGTGGTCATCCCGGCTATTTCGAAACGACGTAGGGAGGCGGCAGGTAGTGGTGGTCGTCGGCCGGGGAGTGGGCGAGGTGATATTGCTATGACCGATGTTTCAAAAAACTTGCACATGACGAGTTCTGGTTCCCAGACCCGCCCGTCCCAATGAGTACCCTAAGTTGGAACTGTCATGGCTTGGGAAATCCACGAACAGTTCGTGAAGTTGTGGACCTTGTGTCCCGTAAGAAGCCTGATTTTGTTTTATTGCTGGAGACTAAAGTGGGGAGTTTGCATGCTGAGCGGCTCCGCCTGAAGATTGAGTTTGAAGGTTTGTTTTATGTTGATCCTATTGGCCTGAGTGACGGTTTGGCCTTGCTGTGGCGAAAGAATAACACAGCACAGCTTCTTAGTTATTCGAGAAATCACGTGGACGTGGAGGTCAGTATTTCTGGTTTTGCAAATTGGCATATGACATGTTTTTATGACTTCCTGGAACGTAGCAGACGACATGAGTCTTGGGAGTTTCTCAAATCCCTTGCGCCTAGGTCCGAACTCCCGTGGGTGGTGATTGGGGACTTCAATGATCTCCTTTATAATCATGAGTAAAGGGTGGGGGAGCCCACATCCGGATGGACTCCTACGTGGTTTTGGGGAAGCTATTGATGACTGTGGACTCTCACAGATGGCCTTGCAAGGCTATCAGTTTGCCTGGGAGAGGGGAAGGGGTACGGTGGACTGGATCTAAGAAAAGTTGGACAAGATGCTTATTACAGATGCTTGGCGTGGTTGTGTGGTAGGGGCCAAGGTGACCAACTTATTGACCCGTTATTATGATAACTCTGCACTCTTTTTAGGGATCTCTGATTCCCAAGGGGGAAGAGGGGTTGGGAGGAGGAAGTTCCGTTTTGAGATGGCCAGGTTGCATGACGATGGTTCTAGGGTAGTGGTGGAGGAATCTTGGGGCGAAGGGTGGAGTATGGGGCTTCAGGATTCCATCAAGTTTTATGGAACCCGCTTCTCACGTTGAAGGGGATCGCTTCCACAAGTTCGGGGAGCAGATCCAGATTCTTCGTAAAGACTAGCTTCGCTTACGTGGACTCAGGGACCCAGCCTCATTGGCTAAGTTCCAGCGAATTGAGGAGCTGTTGAGCCGTATTGAAGCCCAGGAGGATGCTTACTGGAAGCAGAAAGCAAACCAACATTGGCTGAGGGTGTAACACTCCGTGTTACGGCCTTTAATCCGGAATTAATTATTTAATTAATCCCATTAATAATGATTAAAAAGGATTTAATTTGGTTAGGATTCCCTTTAATTAATTAATATGGTCCACCATGGACCATGGACCCTTATCCCTAAACCAAGTCCTTAGTCCTATAAGGAATAGACTTAGTAAACTCATATCATTCAGACCCTAATTAGAACTCCTATATATATATATATATATATATATATATATATATATATATATATATATATATATATATATATATATATATATATATATATATATAAGGACATAGGAGGCACCTAGAAGTCACACCACAATAGATATCACCACACAAGAATTCCCAAGGGACTCCCCACCACCAAGCCTAGGGAGATCAAACGGATGGAAATCTTAAGGAAGAAACTTAATAGCCAAGGGAGGATTAATTAAGTCTAAGAGGTAACCCATGTCTTAACAAAACCTATTTTCTTTGCTATAATCTCCTTCATTGGCTTCTTCTCTATGCTTGTGTCTCGATGAATCGTTTATGGTATTGATGATATGATCTTGATAATTGGTGAGATGATTTTATGTGGGGTCTTGATGATCTTGAGGATGATAAGAGGTTCTTGATGATTATGTGGTGTTCTTGATAAATCTTGATGTTTCTTGATGTTAAAAGATGAACTATGATCTTGATGATTTAAATATGATTAGAGCCCTAGGATGAATTGTGAAATTCGTATTGGTGGGAATTCGCATGTTCGGGGGTTAATTATACTTAGAAATCATGATAGGATGTGTGTTATATGATTCTTGCTTTTGATCCATTAATTGTCTACGTTGTATCGTCGTTTGTGTTTAAAAGTGTCGAAACATGGTTTCGGGTTCCACGAAAGATCCCGGGACCCAAGAATTGAAAAAGAGTCAGTGGGGGGTAGGTGGGGGTAGGGGAACCCGCCACCTACCCGCTGCCCCATTCGGGCGTCGCCGGCAGCGGGCAGCCGGCGGACAAGCGATTGCCCGCCGGGCACCCGCTGCCTGGTTTCTCGCCGCCGGCGGGTGGTCCCCGCTGGTTTTCCCACTTCGGGATGGTGGTTTCCTCCGTTTGATGTTTCCCCGACCCTCGTGGTGTCCCAACGGACTCTGTTTATTGTGCCTAAGTCTAGTTTGATGTTTCGGGTACCGTTCGTAGGATAAAAGAGTCTTGTGTATCGCATGCTAGTTGAATTGGTATCCCGTTGGCCTAGGTGAAAGAAGTATGAACCCCTTAGGATTATTCCTAGTATGTGGATGACCATGCATAGGTTTCATTATACGTTTTCTCCCCTTTCCCAATGTGTTAATATGGGGGTGCATGTGCTTGCTATGTGTTATGTGTGCATGATACCCCAATTTGGTTGCGATCAAATTGGTTATTCCTGAGCTGCGGTTCAGAAGCTGGCTGCGGTCAGAATTACACTCTTGGGCTGCGGTCCACCGTTTGGTTGCGATCAAACATTTTACATGAGCTGCGGTTCATATTCTTGGCTGCGGTCAGATGATCACTCTTGGGCTGCGGTCCACTGTTTGGTTGCGATCAAACATTATGATGAGCTGCGGTTCATCGGTCGGTTGCGATCGACCCCTTCGTGTTGCGATACGATGCAGGGTGCTGCGGGGCCGTGTCAGAGCTATATGCGCTGACCCTCATGTATGGGCATGCGATTGGTCCTGTGGCGCCACCAAAGTGTGCTTGTGTGATGAGATACAAGTTGAATAATGATATGAATGAGTTAAAGCGAATCTGTGACCGTATGATATATGATAGTATCTTTATATGCTTGGTTATAAGTGTTGAATGTGTTTATCCCTATCTGTCGAATCTATTCCGATTTTGAAACTAGAGTTTCCTAGGATATTTCTTCCTGCTTCAGAATGGTTTTTCTTATATATATATATATATATATATATATATATATATATATATATATATATATATATATATATATATATATATATATATATATATATATATAATTATACGGTATTTCAACGCGTTAGAGTGGGTTACCAGCATCATTCGCTGAACACATATATTTGGCTTTCAGGCACAGATGAGTAGACCCCGGAGCGCGCTAGAGGTCCGAAGCGTAGATTAGTTAGTTTTCCTTTCGGCCTGCGTGCCATGATTATGTATCTACATTGCTTGAGGATATTTAGTTAGTTTAGCCTGGGCATCTGAGTTCTTCAGCTCAGATGTGGCATAGCACCCCGCACTCTTATGTTTAGTTTTGAGATTTAATGAGAATTTACCTTTATTATATAAGTTTCAGAAGTTTCAAAATTTCGGGGTGTTACAGAGGGGTACTTATGCAAACACCAAATTTTAACACAGGTATGCCTCTCATCGTAAAAAGATAGACACTTTGACTAAGCTTTTGACTGACTGTGGGGATTGGGTGGAAGGGGAAACAATGAAGGGGGTTATTCTGGATTATTATGATGGTATTTTTTGTACCGGTAGCACTGATGAGGGGGTTGAGTTATTTGATAATATTACTCCTCCTATAACCCATGCAAACAATGAGGCTCTTATGCGCCCCTTTGAATTGGATGAGGTTAAGTCAGCTTTATTTTCTATGCTCCCTGACAAATCCCCTGGGTCAGATGGTATGAACCCAGGTTTCTACCAGCACTTTTGGGATATAGTAGGTGGGGATGTTTCCTCTTTTGTCATATGTCTAGAATCACGTTGCTTTTCACCAGGTTTGAATGATACAAATGTAGTTTTAATCCCGAAGAAGAAGACCCCTGAGTTTGTAACTGATCTTAGGCCTATAGCTTTATGCAATGTGGTTTATAAGATTATGACCAATATGATTGCTAATAGAATGAAGCCCGTATTGGAAATTATTATATTTGACTCATGGAGCGCTTTCATTCCTGATACACTTATCATGGATAACATTTTAGTTGCTACAAAGGTAAGGCATTATCTGAATAGGAAGCAATGTGGGGCGGTTGGTTGGAGTGCCCTTAAACTAGATATGGCTAAGGCCTATTACCGTATAGAGTGGCCGTTTTTACGCAACATGCTTGTGGCCCTGGGTTTTGATGCATGGTGGATGGAACTGATTATGCATTGTGTGACTATAGTTTCTTATAGTTTCTTGGTGAACGGTTCACGCAGCAGACTAGTGGTTCCCACTCGGGGACTGAGACAGGGTGACCCCTTATCCCTTTATCTTTTTATAATCTCTGTAGAAGGATTATCTCTCTTATTGCAGCAAGCACAGAACTGTGGTTCTATTCATGGTTGCAGAGTAGCCAGAGGCACCCCCCTATCTCTCATTTATTTTTTGCTGATGACAGTCTGTTATTTTTCAAGGCTAATTTCCAGGAAGCTACAGAGGTCAAGCGTTGTTTATCAGTGTATGAGAGCCTGTCTGGCCAAGGGGTCAATTATCACAAATCTAGTATTTGTTTCAGCAAGAATACTAGGGAGGATAACAGGGAGGAGGTGGCGCAAGTGTTGGGGGTGGTGCAGGCATCTAATTTTGGTAAGTTTTTAGGCCTCCCTTCCTTTCTGGCGAGGAATAAGAAGGCTGCTTTTGATTATATTGAAGATAAGATAAGACAAAGGATTGGTTCCTGGAATAAGAAACTCTTATCCGAGGCTGGTAGGGAAATCTTGTTGAAAAGTATAGTACAATCTATGCCTACCTTCTCGATGAGTGTTTTCTTACTCCCTATTTCTGTTTGCACCTCTATGTACTATGAACCATTTTTTTTGGGGCTCTGGAAATGATTGTGGTATATATTGGAAGGCTTGGGATAGGTTATGTGTGCCAAAAAAGTTTGGGGGATTGGGTTTTAAGGAACTACGAGCTTTTAACCTTGCAATGCTGGGGAAACCGGCTTGGCGCTTTCTTACTAAACCAGAATCTTTGGTGGCATGTGTTTATAAAGCCAAGTACTATCCCAAGGATTCATTTTTTGATGCATGTTTAGGGAATAATCCCAGCTTTTATTGGCACAGTATTATGGCAGCTCAGGGCTTAATTTGCAGTGGAGTTAGGCGCGGGATTGAGAATGGGGGTGCTACGTTTATATGGGGACATCCCTGGATTCAGGATGAGCAGGAATCGTTGGTTCAGACGGAGATGCCACCACAGTTGGCTGGCTCTCGTGTGGTAGGCCTAATAGACTAGGATACTGGTTCATGGGATCTGTCTATTTTATCTGATATGATGTTTTTAATCCTGTGGATGTTGCTTGAATTTTGAAAACCCCCATTTCACCGGATTACGAGGATTCTTTGTATTGTCAGGGTGATCCCAAAGGTTGTTATTCTGTGAAGAGTGGCTATAGGTCCATTGTTGGAAATTTTCCTGGCAATATTGGGTCATTTGATGAGTGGAATAAGTTGTGGTGCCTAAAAATCCCCCCAATATGGAAAACCTTTCTATGGAGAGCTTTGAGTGATATTCTCCATACCACCAAGAATTTGCTTTTAAAGAGGGTGGATGTTGATCCTTTTTGTGCCATGTGTGGCATTAATCAAGAAAACACTATGCATTGGTTTTGTGTGATTTTGCTAGTTCCGTATGGCGCGAATCCAACCTTCCAATCCCCAACATCCTGACAAATGTTTTTCACACTTGGTTTGAAGAGGTTTTGAATATTCTAGACTCTAATCAAATGATTTACACAGCTGTAATTTTGTACAACATTTGGAGAGCTCGGAACGGGGCGGTGTGGGAGCATTTTCTGCCAACACTGAGGAGGGTGTTTGCTTCGTCCGCCGCCGCCGCCGTCCACGCTTGGTGTAGTGCCCAGCCGAATGCCAGCCGACAGCCTTCCACGATTCAGACCGCGCCACCACCCGCTGCTGCCCCGATGTGGAATTGCTGGTTCGACGCCGGATATTAGCCCACGGCGCAGAGTGCCATGGTCGGTGATGTGCTGCTCGACACCGATGGTGGATTCATTGCGGCTTTCAACAGCCGACTTCCAAACTGCTTCTCACCACTAATGACCGAGGCGCTTGCCTGCAAGGAAGTCTTGTCCTGGCTAAGGGGAGGAGAGGAACAGTGGGTGGAGGTCCACACGGACTGGTTGACTCTTCAGCACTACTTGTCCTCAGCTACATAACCTATCCGTTCTTACGTTGGCTACACTATTGATGGTTGCAGATCTTATAGTGCTTCTTTTGCCTATTGCTCATTTATATTTATTCTTAGGTCGGGTAATTTAATAGCTCATATACTTGCTTCTTCAGCTTTTGCTTAGACTATTGCTATATACTGGAATGTTATCCCTCTTGACTTTATTGCTGGTTATCTTTAATATATGCCGTTCTTCGGTTGCTTAAAAAAAAAAAGTATAACGCACTGATATCTATTGTACTTTCTTTTTTTAAAACAAATTATTTGAGACTAATTAGAAACACTTTAATTAGAATTATCATCATCATCTCTCTCTCTTCTTTTTCCATTTTCTTTTGGTTTAGATGAAATGAGAGTACCTAGTCCCAATATGATTAGATATATTACTAGTCTGAAAGAGAACTCATAATGACCTCAATTTTATCCACACGAGTAGTATGCAAGTCTTCTCTCCAAAAAAGTTTTCTATAAATAGGTGGGTTCAGGGACGGAGTCAGAAAATATGTTGAGGGGGTAAAGAAGTAAGGATGGATTCAATGACGGATTCAGAAAATTTTTTTAGTGAGAGAAAAAAATTAAAATAAAAGAAAAAGTTTAAAAAAATGAAATACTTAAAAAGTATAACAATAAATATTGTTGGATAAAGCGAAAAATAAAACATATTAAAACTTTATAAAAATATTTATAACAAAATATGAAACATAATTAATTTGATAAAACAATTCGAATATAAAACACATTATAAATTACACATTCCATTATTAATATAAAGAAAGTTATAATGGAAGTTATATATATCATGCCAAAATTTAATTGTGTTAATTAGAAAAGTGAAGAAGACTGTGACATTATCAATGCAAAAATTCAAACCCAAGCCATGCCGAAACTCATACACATTAGCTACCACCTTGTCTATCACAGCTTTTGTTTACATAATCTATTTTATTATACTTATATCAATAATGTACTATATATACATATTATATACAATATAGGGTAGGGGAGGGGAGGGGTGGGGTGGGGTGGGGGGGAAGCTGACCCCCCTGCCCCCCGGCTCCGTCTATGGATGGGTTGAAATGAAAACAATTTTCTTGTAAAAAGGGAAAATTGATCACAATCACTTATTAAGGTTCATTACTTGTTGAGGATTTTAATATAAAAAAAATACGTAGTCACTTTTGATACAATTGTTGAGACAAATAAAATACTTATTATATACCTTAATATCTAATTTTATTTCCAAATTAAATTAAATGTATGTAATAAAAATTTGCACTTTTAGTTGTGAAAATTTATGAAATTGTCACCATGCAGATAAGGACGTATTTAACCACTTTTTTTTTTTTTTTTTTTTTTTTTTTTTAATACTATTGACTCTGTTACAATAATGTAGGGCAAATTAAGTTGTGGATCCGTGTCCACCTTGTAAGGTGGATCTGGGTTATATTCACAATTTTTTTATTTTATATTCACAATTTTTAAACTCTATTTTCACAATATTAGAACTGAATATTCACAATTTTAGATCTCAAAATACAAAATTACAGAACTCAATATTCACAATTGCATAACTCTATATTCACAATTTTTGAACTCTATATTCACAATTTTATAACTCTATATTCACAATTTGTGAACTCTATATTCACAATTACAGAACTCTATATTCACAATTTCATAACTCTATATTCACAATTAAATTAAAGAACTCTATATTCATAATTACAGAGCTGAATATTAACTCGCTGAGTTGTTTTCAATATATATATTTTTTTAAATCATTGATTGTGAATATTAAATTCTAAAATTGTGAATATAGAGTTCAAAAATTGTGAATATAACCCAAATCCACCTTGTAAGGTAGACCCCGATCCATGACATAACTATCCATAATGTAGTATTTGTCCATACATATTTTCTCAATTTATTAAAGCATAAAAGTCAACGCCCCACTAGAGTTATAACCACTTGATCTAACTAGTTCATGTTAACAATTCTCATATTTTGTACTAAACTTTTATTCTTATGTGATTCGTGCGTGTATATGATCACGTGAGAACAAGGCGCTACGTAAAAAGTGCAGACAAATGCAAAATGTTAATATGCACGTGATAATCAAAGACTATAAATTAAAGTAAAGGAAAAAATATGTTGACAATTTGCTAAATATCATAAATTTTTAAATGCTAAAAGTGTACCATGTAAAACTATAAAATGCATATAATTATATGTAAAAGTACGTACAAATCGTTCTGAGTACACTTTTATATATCAACGGTTGCACTTTATACTTTTGGGTGATGCATGTCGGCAATTTCTCACCTTAATTAGATCCTATATACTTTCTTATATATAGAATGGTTCAAATAAAAACAACTCTTCTCGCAAAAAGTAAAATTTGATCACAATCACCTATTAGGGTTTATTATTTGTTGAGAATTTTAGTAAAAGAAATATGGAGTCAATTTTATAATTATTATTTATAACATTGACTTCTCCTATTTTTCTCTTATTTTTTAACAATTACCGTCAACAATTGATCTATCCAAATAGATAGATTAAATCAATCATAACTTTTTACATGAAATTAAAGTGTGTTCAATTCTTATATGAAATCTCTCATATATATATATATATATATATATATATATATATATATATATATATATATATATATATATATAGTCAGGTTCCTGTGAGGTCAGGTCTTCCCGTGCGGTCAGTGCAGCATACACCATTAGATATGCATAAATGCACCACACAGTGTTCGTAAATACACCATTATGTGTGGTGTATTTTTTTTTTTTTTTTGTGGTGTATTTTTTGGCATTTCATTCTGGTGTATTTGCAAACACTGTATGATGCATTTATGCATACCTAATGGTGTATGCCGCACTAACCGCACGGGAAGACCTGACCTCACAGGAATCAATATATATATATATATATATATATATATATATATATATATATATATATATATGCTTTAATCAGTATAGAATGAGTGGTTTGATACTTTTTCTCCCTCTACTTATACCATTTCATTTTGGCCATTGGCTAGACGTTGGTGGGCTCATATTATACTCATTCAATCCCCTTTAAATTGGGTTGTGTATTAACCACCATATTTTTGCAGATGCACTAATTCTATGGCAAATGATTGTGTGAACCATGGTACAAAATGAAGTTGTTTTGATATTTAAAAAGAACTTTTTGTTACAGGCGCATGTTAGAATAATTAATATTCTAAAATAAAATAAAGATAAAATAATGTATTTTATACGTTAGAAACTTAGAATAATAAAATTTTTGAGGTAAGATGATGTATTTTATGAGTTAGAATAATGTATAATGTATTTTATGTGTTAGAATAATAAAATTTCTGAAGTAAGATAATGTATTTTATAAGTTAGAATAATTATTTTATATGTTAGAATAATATATTTTATGGGTTAAAATAATATAATGAGTAAAAGACATTTTTGGTCCTAGACTTATAGTGGCTTGGACAATTTTAGTCCTTTATAAAAAAATTTGCCATTTTATGGACAGAGTTATTGTGGCGAGGACATTTTTGGTCCTCCGTCTATATTTCTGTTAGATAACCGTATGAGAGAGGGGCAATTACGCCAATTTAGGCTATCTCCTTCTATCTATTATATCAATGTGTGTTTGGCGGTTTCGATTCTCCTTCTATCTATTTGATTAGTAACCTGTTTGGCGGCTTCGATTCTCCGGCAATTTCTTCGTACAACTGCAACTTGGACTCTCCGACTCCTTCGAATTATGATCGAGAAGAAAACAAAACACACATAGATATAATAGATAGAAGGAGATAGCTTAAATTGACGTAATTACCCCTCTCTCAGACGGTTATCTAACAGAAATATAGACGGAGGACCAAAAATGTCCTCGCCACAATAACTCTGTCCATAAAATGGCAAATTTTTTTATAAAGGACTAAAATTGTCCAAGCCACTATAAATTTAGGACTAAAAATGTCTTTTACTCTAATATAATTTATGTGTTTTTGAATCGTGATCCGCATAGCTGTGTGGACCACGATCTACGGAATAATGATTGCTAATTCTATATATTATTTTTAGAGTTAATACTCAAAATCGTCCTCGACTATAGTGGTTTTTCCCAATTTCGTCCTAAACGATTTTGGTGACCTAATATCGTCCCAGACTTTTGTGTTTCGCGCAATTTAGTCCTCCATTTGTTATTCCGTCAAATTGGTGTTAAATAAAGGGACAATTCAGTAATGTCAATATTGATCTCTCTTTACTTTCAACTTGTGAAGTGCAAAATTCATCTTTCTTGTACGAATTACACCCAGAATTACTCCCGGACCTGCAAATCAAATTTTATATTCGCAATTTTAGGAGTAATTCTGGGAGTAATTCATAAAAAAAAAAAAAGATTTCGCAGTTCACATGTCTATGAGTAAAGAGATGTCAATATTAAAATTACGGAATGTCTATTTATTTAACACCAAATTGACAAAATAACAAATGATGGACTAAATTGAGCAAAAACACAAAAGTCTGGGACTAAATTGAGCGAAACACAAAAATTTGGGACGATATTAGGTCACCAAAGTCGTTTAGGACGAAATTGAGAAAAATCACTATAGTCGAGGACCATTTTGGGTATTATTTTATGTTTCTGGTTTGTTGAAGGGATCTGGGAATGAATGTATAATATTCCGAAATCCTGTAATCCAATTGCATGGCGTCACGTCAATGGGATCGGAGGATG